AGTGCGAGTGCGAGTGCGTGCGCGCGTGCCAGACCGGGCTTTGGAGTGGTCACGAGTCGATGTGCGATTGTGGGAAGGGTGTGAGCGCAGCGAGGGTGAGGGTGGCATCGGCTGTGTGGCTCACCACAGGGTTTTGAGCAGCAACGGCTTCTTCTACGGAGGATGGATAACCAGTAATGGGCGACAAGCGGACGCTAACGCTTGCAAATGTGCTGAGGTAGAATGTAAATGTCTGGATGAAGACGAGGACTGAGATTAGATCCAGCTCCGCGTGAATGCAAGCCGATGGCCGCTCATACTCACTCATCGGACTGCAGAACCAACCATCGTAAGTCGCAAAATTCCAAAATTGGGGCATCAAAATCTTGAATGTGTTTCACGAATCACGAGTGAATTTCATTATCAGCACATCCCAATGTGAATATTACATTTTTTTTTTTTGAGAATCAGGCGCGCGTGCGTTTCTTTTCGCACGAGAGAACCGAATGCATTTTGATTATCATTTTGTGCTTGATTATTAGGAGGAGTGAGTCTTAATCACGAATGTGAATCAATTTAAGGTGCACGGCCACCGAGACCGGTGTAGATCACTGGGAATTGTAACGTGCAAGGCTGTACTTACGACTCAGCCTGTCGATCAAAGTCACGAGTGCATGGCAGCACCGTACGGAACTCTGCGGTAGGCCTGAATCAAGCATGTGATTGACTGACAATCATGTCTCGCGGTAATGACGGTACAATTGCAAGCCGCGGTGGGTGCGTAGCGCGTCCGCTGTGCCAAGTGCCCTTGGGCTTGCGACCAACACGCCCTCCAAGTGTTGGTGTTTCTGTTGGCACAGCTCGCAGTCACGACCAGCAGGGCAAGAGTACGAAGCTGCATTACTTTGCACGCCATGCTGAGCTGCAAATCGAAAATCAAAATGTCAAGTCTAACATGGCGAGTGCTGAAGGGGAAGGGGAAGGGGGAGGGGTGTGCAAACGCTTATTCGTACTCCGTCTTGACCTTGACGTTGGAAACATTCACACTTCCACCCAAAGGGATGCGGTGAGGTGAGCTGTGATCGAATACGCTACAGAGGCCAAACATCGAGTGCAAGATGCGGCATTTGTCAGCTCAAGTGCCGCAGATTGTGATTGCACATCTTGGGTGAGATCAAGCATAAACTCACCCAGGATACGTAAGTCTATGAACCGGAGGTCTCTCAGCTTCTTGAAAGAGCAATCTATCTTCCGCATTTCTAGTCTTCTTGTCCAACTCTTCCAAGCTTGTTCTTCGACTGGATTCCAAGCTGGGCTTGTAGTGCGACAAGTATCGAGTGATCAAGGGCGCATTGGAATCTGACGATGTCTCTTCTTCGCCCGTCGCGCCATGAGGCGAGCGATTCGCTGCGGCGCTGAAACGGTAGACAATCACTCCTCCGATCACCAGCAGCAGCCCATTGCGCCAGAATGGTGCCGAGAAGCCTGCCAGAGGGGCCATAGGCGGTCATGAGGCGCGGAGAGAGTCAGTCGTGAAGCACTGCATCAGCTCTGTGCATCCACATCAGTCCAGCAAGTCTTCCTTTCACACCACCTGTATGCGTCTTGCCAACACACGCTCCGAACAATTGCCAGACCCCGCAGATCATTACTTCCCCCATCCATCAACTCACCCTCCTCAGGATACTGCTCCTCCTCGGCCGCATCAGCCGCCGCATGTCCGTGCGAAGATTCGGCGGATCGAGAAGCAGAAGCGTGCAGAGTTCGTGCAGCAATGTTGAGCGTCGCCAAGGAGGTTGGGGCTGCTCGCGCTCTCAAGAAGTGCGGCAGGAGCACTCGGGAGGCCATGGTGGACTTTTCCAGTGCTTGCTGCAGCAAAGTGCAGTGATCCAATCGATGGCCGCAGCGTCGAGGCGACGATGATGGTGAGCGACCTTCAGCGTCTTTGAAGATGCGATCGACGATTGGG